CCTCTCCTATTGCGGTAGTTTTCAGTTACGTCAAGTAATTAACATGCTCCATCAATTCTCCAAATAATCGCCAATGCAAATTCAGGAAATTGGTGCAGCCGTCGCTTTAAACGGATTTCACTGCAGCGCTAATCGAATTACTTTATCTTGCTACGGCAGAGACACGGCGTATTACGCATTTTACATTTAATATCTATCGCTTCAACTATTTGTTGAAAATCACGCGCGATTCCACGCGACATTCCATCTCCGTGCGAATTGTCAGTGGATAAAGTCAGCCCCCTCGAATTCGCGCATTCCTCTCGCTGCTTCTCACCTCGTCGGACGCGCATATGTATGATGACTTTTTAATGCACCCTCCAACAAAACGTGCGCGTCCTTGCACACTTCCAATTTCCTGACAGTGCCGTATATATCTCAATGTCAGTTGGAAATGGATTCCGCGGGGTAGCGCATCCGTTCCGCATCACCGCATACGCTGCGTTCACGTGGTGTACCGCGCCGTCATATTTTCCGTCTAATATCGCACAGACGTGCAACGTGTACCTATATAGTTACGTCTCATTGACGACAGACAATACGTTCTACCCCGATCGATTATACGCTTTGATGAACGATTCTCGAGACGCCATAGAGACGCAAGTACGCAGGAAGCGTTTCTCCGAGCTGACAATGGTGTTTCTACAAATCATGGATGTTAATCACACTATAATTAGGATATACGTGTTATAAATAGATAGCTTATTGATCCCCTATGAAGTTAAAACGAACTTTTGCTTATCATAATACAAAAAAAACACACAAAAATAGACAATTATATAATTCACAAAAATACATCATAAATTTTGATCTAAACTTAAATCTACGCCTACTTTTGTTTGATCTACACACATACACACGCGCACGCGCGCTTCTCTCACCTAGGTATCCTATTTATCTTTCTAAAGCCTATCACAATACAAAGGTACAGGCAATAGGAATAGGGAATAAGGCAGGCAACAGAAATAACCCCATTTCAACTTATAATAAAACTGAAAAACTGTGATTGGTCAGGTACAGGCAATAAAGAATAGAAATACAACGTGTAGGAAATTCTGTTCCTATTGCCTATTTCATATTCCATTGCGTTGATACACAGTTTTTGGTAAGTTGAAATGTGGTTATTTCTGTACGAATAAACCGGGCTAACTAAGAACCAGCGCGGTAAATGATGCGCGAAAGTTTTTTATTTATATTTTTATTTTACATACCTATTTTCCTACCCCTTTGACTGCGTGCCGACTAGATTTGTCAGAC